GCGTGGGGTTGTATAGCGTGGGGTTGTACTCTGTTGCATGGGGTTGTATAGTCTGTTGCATGGGGTTGCACTTTGTCGCGTGGGGTTGTGTAGCGTGGGGTTGTACTCTGTTGCGTGGGGTTGTATAGTCTGTTGCATGGGGTTGCACTTTGTCGCGTGGGGTTGTATAGCATGAGGTTGTACTCTGTTGCATGGGGTTGTACTCTGTCACGTGGGGTTGTACTCTGTTGCGTGGGGTTGCACTCTGTTGCGTGAGGTTGCACTCTGTCACGTGGGGTTGTATAGCGTGGGGTTGTACTCTGTTGCATGGGGTTGTACTCTGTCACGTGGGGTTGTATTCTGTCGCGTGGGGTTTCCTGCCTGGGAGTGACTCAATGGCAGTAGGGGTTCTAGCCGGATAAGAAGGGATACCTGGTGTGTAGTTGGGCGGCGACCGAGTAAGCTGTGTCCTTGCACCTGCCTCTCTCCCCACTGAGCTGATGGTCTCAGGAGACCTGGACACAGAACACTGAAGGAGAGTGGCTGGGGACAGACCCGACTTGAGGCTTGCTGGGCCATTGGCGCAGCCCCTGGGCAGTCTAGTCTGGGAGGAGGTGGGCTGCAGAAGGCAGAGCTGGAAGTGGGGTGAGCCCAGGGGCTACAGTCACCCGGACTGGGCTGGCGGACCATGGGAAGGAGTGGGACGGTGTGGCCAGAGTGGTGGCCTGGCTGGGAAGGGGTTGTCAGCCTGGTGGCCTGGCTGGGGAGGGAGGCGCACCTGTGGGAGCTCAAGACTGGGGACCACCTTCCACTTGGGCAGAGGAGGGAGTACAGGGTGCAGTTTATCTGGGGGCATTGGTGGGGAACGGGGGGGGGGGCACAGCATGAGGCCAGGCCAGAACAGGAACCAGGTGACCCTGCCCAGGGACTGGGGAGGGACAGCTTTCTTTCCAACCTAGTGACTCATCCAGGAGGAAGAAGGAACCAGAAATGGGGCCAGAACATGTCTTCTAACCATCTTGCCTCCGGCATGGCAGAGGCCGGTGGCCAGCAGAGCCCCTGAAGCTGAGGGGCCTGGAGAGGGGACACCCACTGCTCCAACCCAAGACCTGCTCGACCCCGACCACGGCTTGGCTGTGGCTTGAGGGTGGCCAGGATGGTAGGAATGGCCAAGACCTCTGGTGGCTGCAGTCCAGACTTGACCTACTGCCAGTTGATGCTCGGCCAGCACCCTGAGCTTTTCCTCACAAGACTGTGGGTGCTGGGGTTTCCAGAACATGTTGGCCGTGTCCAGCGGGGCTTCCCTGGGACTCGGGGACCAAGCCAGAGGGAGAGGTGGAGACAGCGAGTTCACGGCCCGGCCTTCCTGCCTGTCTGGAGAGGAGCGGGGTCCTGTACCAGCACTGGGCCTGTGGGAGAATTGGCCTGGAACCTGGATTTAATCTCCATTCTCAGCTGCAGGCAGATCTGATACGTCCTGTGGATGGTGGCTGTCACACAGCGCCTTGCTGGCCCGTGTACAGCTGCGTGAGGCCAGAGCCCTCAGCTTCGCTGCCGGTCCAGCGCCAGAACCCCTCTGCAGGAGCGTTTGCTGAGAACTCAGCCTTTAGGAATCAGTCATTCCTTCAGCGTTGAGCTGACAGCTGACAAATTGCTGTCACGTAGTGTCACCGAGTCGATCCCAGCGCCTCACCACCCTGTCGGGCCCGGGGTAGGACTCTTTCTTCCAGTTTCCAGAGATGCCGTCTTTACAGAAGCAGACGGCGGCGGCGTTCTCCTGCGGAGGGGCTGGTGGGTCGTCACCGCTGCCCTTTCCGTGAGCAGCCCAGTCACCACAGCTTCCTCTGGGAGACAGTCATGTAGGGAGGAAGAAAGGTCTGGCGGTCGCCCAAAAGCCCTGTGGAACCTGGTTCAGCCCTGGCACTTGGGGGTGCTGTTGAGGTGGTGGCAGCAGCTAGTGGTCGCCCTAACTTTCTCTTCCCTTCCAGAGTTCTTGCCATGGTGTGTCGGCTTCTGGGGGCCAATGATTCCCCAGTGGTCACCCACCCAAGTTCTGTCTCATGGACATTGTCCCAGTGTGTGTTCCCCATCCCATCTGTGCTGTCAGACTGTGCCCGTTTCCTCAGTGTCTCCCACCAGCACATTCCCTCCCTCTGTCCCCTCCTGCCTGGCCCTTCCCTCAGCCCCTGGGGGGGGGGGTCAGCCCCTCACTGGCCTGCTTCCCTGCCTCTTCCCACCCCCTGCAGAGGACAGAGTAGCCAGAATGGGTAGCTCTTAGGTTTCATAGTAAATTATTTACAGACACACACAATCAAACCCTCAACCCTTGAGTTTACCCAACTCTTGAGTTTCCAAGGTTATAAATCTAAGTATTTATGGGAGAAAACTGGCACTGATTGTTTCTCCCTTAGAGCAGCCGGTAAATTTGAACCGCGTGCCTTTGGGTTGTCAGTGCAAGTCCTTAGCACCAAGTCACAGAGCTCGCTGGGTACTTGTGAGGGTTACAGCCGAGGAAACCGTCGGGGCATCTGTCCTCCTTACAGGCGACTATCAGAGTCTGCGTGGTGACACCCAACATCAATGTCCATGTAGTGTTTCATGGCCAGACGGTGGGAGGGAGGGTGACAGGCTGTGGGGACAGAGAGGCCACGTGGGGAGGGTGAGGCGTACGGGGGACAGGGTGTGAGGGACGCGGACAGGAGCCAGCGGCTGGCGCTCGAGAACCAGGGAAGTGAAGTGTCCCATGGTGTGTCGTGGGCCCAGCAGCTGACCCGGCTGAGTTACAACACCCGGGACTCACTCTTCAGGCCGGTCTTAAGGCTGGAGGCAGTTTCTCTTTCTCTCGGGAACAGATACAGTTTTTGTTTCTGTTTGAGGAGGAAGAACGCCCACTCTCGAGGGCTGGGCCTGCTGTGTTTCCATAGTGCCCTTCATGATGGAATCTCTTTGGGAGTTTGGCAGCCCGCCTGGAGGCCAGGGGTCAGGCCCACCCTTGACCTGCTGTGAGGACATTCTGGGAGGACTTGCAGGTTTCTCGCAGGCCAGCCCTAGGGTCTGGTGTGCCACAGGAGACTGGCCTTTGCTGATGATCTCACTAGCCAGCTGCTGGCTTCCAGCCTGAACCAGGTGTGGGCTGGGCTGCCGGCCTGCGGGTGGGGGTCCCCGTAAGGCCCTCTGAGCTGTGTGCCCTGCTGTCTGTTCTGACCCAAAGCAGCCCTATAGGATAGCGCAGAACTGCCCCGTAGGGTTTCCAGGGCTGAGAAAGGTGAAGCAGTCCGCTTGTGGGCAGATGGGCAGCCCTGGACACACGGGCACCTGTCCCCTGTCCTGCCGGCCACTGTGATTGGGAATTGACTTCGCAGCAGTGGGTTGAGTTAATCTTCAGGGAGCAGACCACCACATCTTCCTCCCCGGGAACCCCCGACCTTTGAGGTGGCAGTGGAATGCTTGACCACTGCACTACCAGGACTCCCGGACAGGACCTGTTCATGACGGATGCTGGGCTTGCTCGAAGGAGAGGGAACGCTTGGGGTCAGGGCCCACTGGCCTCCCTGGTGCCCGTCCCAGCGGCTTCTTGCTCTCTCTCCAGGTGCTCCATCACTCACCATGGCGGAAGCTCACCAGGCCGTGGCCTTCCAGTTCACCGTCACCCCCGACGGCATCGACCTCCGCCTGAGCCACGAGGCCCTGAAGCAGATCTATCTCTCGGGACTTCACTCCTGGAAAAAGAAGTTCATCAGATTCAAGGTTTGCGGCTCTCTGTTTCAGTCTAAAGCATAGTCAGACGCTCCGGGTGGTGCAATCTGTTACCAAACACAGCTGCTGAGTGAGAGGCTGACAGGTCAGGTCTCCCCAGGGGACCCTCATCAGAAAGGCCTGGCAATCAGCTTCTGAAAGTTCAGTCCCTGAAGTTGCCGTGGGACAAGGCTCTCCCCTGAAAAGTGGGGTGATGAGGAGTCGGAATCGACTCATTAAAGCGGAGTTGCTTTTTGTTGTGGTGGTGGTTTTTAATTGCTTTTCTTGCAATTATTACTGTTGATTTAGGCCTATTATTTCTCCTTCTCTTCAAGTTCTTATGGAATCTCCCTCGTGCTTTACACCCCCACCCACTCACCCCTGCCCTCCTAGTGATTGGCTCCCTTCCTGTCTACCCTCCTTCTCACCCTGCCCCTCTTTGAACATTTATATATGTGTGTGTGTGTATATATATATATATATCCCATTTATCCTACTAGTCTCACAATAGAGGCCTTACACTGTATTTGTCCTTTTGAGACTGATTTACTTCACTCAGCATATTCTCTAGTCTCTCCCGTGTTATATAGTATTTTTCGTTTTGGTGGGGGGTATGTTGTTGTTTTGTTTGTTTTGCTTAATATCTAAGAAATGGATTTCTACTTGTTGTGTGAGATCTTCAGCGTTCTGAAGAATTGCTTGCTTAAAAGAGCTATATTTCATGATGTTGATGTTGTGTACCGTAAGTCAGAACCGACCCCTAGCTGACCCTCCGGTGGGTTTTCAGAGACATTTAATCACACGGGGGGCGATTGACCATCCTTCTCCCATGAAGCAGCTGGTGGCCTTGAACTGTGTGCCCTCAGGATTGTGGCACAGCTTCTCACCAGACGTAAAGTTTTTGAAGCACTTTCACATATGTGGGCCTGATACCTTCTTGAAGGAAGTACATGACGTGGGTTGGCGAGGCTTGAAGAGGGTAAACAGAGGGCAGAGAAAAGGCTAGCATCTTCTCTGAGTCCAATACCCTTCACACTCTGTAGAAAGGTGGATTTCCCCCCTTGCTGTCTGTATTTCCATGGTTTTAGTTGAGAAATAGCTTGCTGGTAAGTTAGTTCACCCTCAGGAGAGAACTCCACACATCCAGGTGCTCTGAGGAGGCAGAGCTGCCCTCAGGGTCCCCGAGGCACAGCATGTGCACAGAAGCTGACGCCTCGCCTTGTCCCAGAGGAGCAGCCGTGGATAGAACCTCTGCCTCGAGGTTCAGAGCCTGATGCTTTACACGCTGTGCCATGCAGCTCCATCAGGACCAGAGAAGTCCATGAAAATTCAGACACGGTGACCTTCTCCGCCCTCCTTGCTTGCAGAAGTGGACATTCATTCATTCTGTGAAGCACTAGTCCCATTTCGTCTGTTTGTTTGTGTGTGTGTTTGGTTGTTGTTTTGTTTTGTTTTTTTTATTTTGTTATTTTTTGTGTACCATCAAATCAGATCTGACTGGTACAGGAGGAGATTGCCCCTCCTTCCCCAGCAGAGCATCTGGTGGATTCGAACCGTGCACCTCTGGGATTGCAGTGCAGCTTCTTGCCACTTTGCCACCAGAGCTCATCATCTAGTTGTTTTCAATCTAATTGTTGAGGCCCCAGAAGCAATGAATGTGTGCTTAGAGAACCCCGGACCACTGAGGGTGAGACAGCATCCTCCTTGGAACAAGCACGGAAGGCAGGAAGGGTGATGGGAGACGAGAGACACGGGGGAAGCGGGAAGGATGCTGTTATGTGTTTGAGGATTATAACCCATGTCACTTGTTGAAGGGAAAACCCAGTTTTCTCTGTAAACTTTTACCCAAATCACATGCAAAAACCCCTGAAAACTCAGAAGAACATTTTGAAATGACAGCAGGTTGGAGGCGAGGGCAGCCCACCCCTGGACAGGACACCTGCCATCTTCCTTCTCAGAGGGGCTGTTGAGAAAGGTCCCCACCTCGAGCTAGAGGAGGAGGAGGGTGGGGAGCCCCAGCCTGAAAGGGGGAGCCCTTGTTGCCAGGGGTGGGTCCTTGGCCCAGGTGAGGGAGGGGGCCCAGTAGGGCCATTAGGTCTCTACCAGCAGTGGAGGGCGCCACCCACTGGTCAGGGCAGGAGTCACAGCCATTAACCCACAATCAGCAGTGGAGGGGGCGCCACCTACTGGTCAGCCCAGGGGCCTCAGCCCAGCCATTAGCCCAAAATTAGCAGTGGAGGAGGGCGCCACCCACTGGTCAGTGCAGGGGCCCAGCCTGGCCATTAAACTGAAATCAGCAGTGAAGGAGGGCGCCACCCACTGGTCAGCGTAGGAGTTCCGGCCATTAGCTCTCAATCAGCAGTGGAGGGGGCGCCACCTACTGGTCAGCGCAGGCGTCTCAGCCCGGCCATTAACCTGCAGTCAGCAGTGGAGGAGGGCGCCACCTACTGGTCGGCGCAGGGGTCCCAGCCATTAGCCCTCTATTAGCAGTGGAGGGGGCGCCACCTACTGGTCAGCTCAGGGGCCCCAGCCCAGCCATTTACCCACAATGAGCAATGGAGGGGGCGCCACCTACTGGTCAGCGCAGGGGTCTCAGCCTGGCCATTAACCTGCAGTCAGCAGTGGAGGAGGGCGCCACCTACTGGTCAGCACAGGAGTCCCAGCCATTAGCCCTCTATTAGCAGTGGAGGGGGCGCCACCTACTGGTCAGTGCAGGGGTTGCAGCCATTGCAGGGGAAAGTGGGTCTGATTTTAAAGATCTCATTCACAGTTTGGGGACCCCGTGGCTCTGTTGTTAAGTGTCCCATTGATAACCTAAAGGTTGACAGTTTGAACCCACCCAGCAGCACTGGGTGGCTCGAGTGTAACCAGAGGAACCTTGGAAGAAAGGGCTGGTGATCGACTTGTGCAAGACGTCGCTGTGAAAACCTGGTGGAAACTGAGCTCCGCTGCACGGGGGTGACTTGACAGGAGCCGGCCACGAGGATCTGGGCCGGGACAGTGCTGCAGCCTGGAGCTCAGGAGCAGCAGGGACTCTGAAGATGGCACAGCATCGGGCAGGGGCTCGCTCTGTGCTGCGTGGGGTCGCTGATGAGTCGGGGTCAAGGCGACAGCGGCTCACAGCAAGAAGGTGGACGGAAGTGAACATCAGGCAAACCTCAGAGATGCTGCAGCTTCCCAGACCACAGCAGTCAAGCAGTAAAACGGGTTGTCATTGCTGATTGCCTTTGAATCGAGCATGACTCATAGTGACCCTGTGAACAAAAGGCTTGAAGCCTTTCTGTAACTATGGACATTTATCAAAGTTCATAGAGTTCCCGGAGGCATGTGGTTTAGGAAGTGGATGCCACTCCTGCTTCCAAGTGAAACGGGTAGTGTGATAGAAATGGTAATGAAATGTCTTGTTTCGCTGTGCACAGGGAGCTCTGATGGCCTAGTAGTAAGGAGCGGTGCTGCCAACCCAAAGGTGCACAGTTCAAATCCACCAGCTGCACACAGCAGGAGAAAGATGGGCAGTCTCCTTCAGTGGGATTTCATGCTTCTGAAAATCTGCTGGAGGGTCAGCTATGAGTCAGTTCCAACTTGACACATGACAGCAACAACAGAAGTTAGGGTCATACATGTCCATTGTGTGTGTGATAGCACTGTGAGTTTGTGAAAATTTTCACAGTGTGGTGTGGAGACATGAGGTGAACACAGGCCGTTGGAACGTGGTGGTCAGTGTCTTTCAGGCACAGGGTCGCCTCAAACGTCCCATTTGTGGAAATCTTCCGTAGCTGTGAAGCATGGTAGGGAGAGGTGTCAGCACAGTAAGCCGTGCCTGACCTGGGCGTCCCTTGGAGCCGCAGGTGGTGGGAGGTGAGGGGCGAGCGGGCTTCCAAAGGCCTGAGCTGTCCTGAGAACCGGGACTGTTGATCTGGAAGGTTCCTTCCTCCCTTTGCGTATTCATTTTCATCTAGCTCCAATTCATTGCACTGTATTTTCTTTTCTAAGATGATATTTTACTCCAGAGAACGTGCAGCCACCCCTTGGCTTAGAATCTCCCCTGGCTGTCTCAGCAGTGGGAGATCACGGAGGACTTGGGCTTTGAGTGGAGCTTCTCCTGGGGGCATTCAGATGCAGTGACTCAGGATTTTAAATCCCTTGCCTTGTTCACATCTCTAGCTCACCGTGGTGGCTTTGTACGCTAGAAAAATTTTTAATTGCAAATTTTCAAACATACACAGAAACTAGAATTAGTGAATCTGCTAATCTCTCAGCTTTAATAGTTGACATTTTGCACATCATCCTTTTCCACCTTAAACGTGTTTGTAGAGCTCTGGTGGCCTAGAGACAAGAAGCTGCGCTGCAATCCCAAAGGGACGCGGTTCAGGGCCACCAGCTGCTCTGTGGGAGTAAGATGAGCAGTCTCCTCCCGTGCGATTAACTGCCTCTGAAAACCTGCTGGAGGGCCAGCTGTGGGCCAGTTTCTGCTCGACAGTACACACAACCCCACACAATGAAGAGGGAGCTCTGGTGGCCTAGTGGGCTAGGACTTGTGATGCCAACCCAAAGACAGGCAGTTTGAATCCACCATCTGCTCCTGGGCCATTTACAGCCTCTGAAAGCCCGCTGGAGGGTGAGCTGTGGGGTAGCTCAGTCTGGACAGCAGTGAGTTGAGGTCACAGCGGGCTTAGAGCTCAGTGGCTGAGAGGCCGTCCGTTCGACCCTCCAGGCTCTCCGCAGGAGGGAGAGGCAGTCGAGCTCTGCAACGACTCCACCTTGGAAACCTCATGGGACAGCTGTGCCCTGTCTCCCACGGGTGCGCTGGGCTGGAACTGGCCTGCCATCAGTGGGTTTGGGATAGATCCTTTGAGAAATTGTTCTGGGAGATACTTTTTTGGCTCAGAAGGAGAGGGGGAAATCGAGACGGTGGGAGCGTGTAAACAGGGCAGGATCTCTGGCAAGAGGCAGCATGGCCAGCCACCTGCCTGGAGGCCAGAGTCAGAGGGAGGTCCCTGGGGCGGCGGCGTCGCTGAGAAGGGCCCTGATCACTGCCTCTGCTTGTTTCCAGAATGGAATCATCACGGGCGTGTACCCAGCCAGCCCCTCCAGCTGGCTCATCGTGGTGGTGGGCGTGATGTCAACCATGTATGCCAAGATCGACCCCTCGCTGGGCATCATCGCAAAAATCAACCAGACCCTCGACAGGACGTAAGTCTGCCCGTCAGTGACCGGCCTTCGCGTCGGGCTGCTCTGTCTTCCAGGTTCATGACTGTGGGGACGCCGGCGGTGGCTCAGGTGGAAGCGTTCGCTGGCTGGGCTTAAGGGCCCCTGAGAACTGCAGTCTCACTCTCTGAAGGCCCGGGAGCATCTTGACTGGCCAGTGGGGTCCACAGATGAAACCTGTGCTGAAGGGTTGACTGCTGACTCTTCCCTTATTTATCCAGTGCTGCTGTCACAGACCCCACAGTGCACTGTCTCTGTCACCCAGTGCTGCTGTCACAGACACCACAGTGCACTGTCTCTGTCACCCAGTGCTGCTGTCACAGACCCCACAGTGCACTGTCTCTGTCACCCAGTGCTGCTGTCACAGACACCAACGTGCACTGTCTCAGTCACCCAGTGCTGCTGTCACAGAGACACCACCGTGCACTGTCTCTGTCACCCAGTGCTGCTGTCACAGACACCACAGTGCACTGTCTCTGTCACCCAGTGCTACTGTCACAGACACCACAGTGCACTGTCTCACTCACCCAGTGTTGCTGTCACAGAAACACCACAGTGCACTGTCTCAATCACCCAGCGCTGCTGTCACAGACACCACAGTGCACTGTCTCAATCACCCAGCGCTGCTGTCACAGACACCACAGTGCACTGTCTCAATCACTCAGCGCTGCTGTCACAGACACCACAGTGCACTGTCTCAGTCACCCAGTACTGCTGTCACAGACCCCACAGTGCACTGTCTCAGTCACCCAGTGCTGCTGTCACAGAGACACCACAGTGCACTGTTTCAGTCACCCAGTGCTGCTGTCACACACACCACAGTGCACTGTCTGTCACCCAGTGCTGCTGTCACACACACCACAGTGCACTGTTTCAGTCACCCAGTGCTGCTGTCACACACACCACAGTGCACTGTCTGTCACCCAGTGCTGCTGTCACAGAGACACCACCGTGCACTGTCACAGTCACCCAGTGCTGCTGTCACAGAGACACCACCGTGCACTGTCTCAATCACCCAGTGCTGCTGTCACAGACACCACCGTGCACTGTCTCAGTCACCCAGTGCTACTGTCACAGACACCACAGTGCACTGTCTCAGTCACCCAGTGCTACTGTCACAGACACCACAGTGCACTGTCTCTGTCACCCAGTGCTGCTGTAACAGAGACACCACAGTGCACTGTTTCAGTCACCCAGTGCTGCTGTCACACACACCACAGTGCACTGTCTGTCACCCAGTGCTGTCTCTGTCACCCAGTGCTGCTGTCACAGATACCATAGTGCACTGTCTCATCCAATGCTGCTGTCACAGACCCCACAGTGCATGTCTCAGTCACCCAGTGCTGCTGTCACAGATTTGCACACGTGGATGTCTTAGTTCTCTAGCGCTGCTGTAACAGATATGCCCTAAGTGTTGGCTTTCATGCCCATTTTTCTTTTCTTGCGGTTCACATTCACAGTGCTGGCTGTAGGAGACGGCTTTGCTCTGTGTGTCTCCTGGTTCTCTGAGGTTCCGGGCACAGGAACCCCACCATCCACAGAGCACAGTCGGCCCCAGGCTCTTCATTCCTGGTGGGAATAGATCCCTCTCTCCTAGTTCTCTGTCCACTTTTGCATTTCAAGAGATTGCCTCCAGATACCACCAAGAGATTGCCTCCAGATACCACCCAAAGCTGGGCCTCTATCCTGCCTCATTAATATCATGACAGTAACAATTATTATTATTATTATTATCATCATAGTAATATCATAGAGGTGACGATTTGCAGCCCCTGGCTAATTACATCAGGTTACAAAATAGGAATCTTGGCCCAACCAAGGTGACACATTTTAGGGGCCAGGATCCAGTCCCCGCCTGTTCCCCATGGGCACGCTTGTTTCCGCACCTCTTGAATTCACCCTGTGGGGCGCTCTGTGGTGACTCAGCTTCTTGGGTTCCTCCCAGAGTTGTTAGAAACCTCGGGAGCCCTTGTCCCTCTTCCCTCAGGGGACTTGAAATTTCTCCAAGAGCCTGAAGGGAGCTCTGGTGGCCTAGTGGCAAGGAGCTGAGCTGTTAGCCTGAAGGTGAGCAGTTCAAGCCCACCAGCCTCTCTGAGGGAGAAAGATAGGGTACAGGATGGACAGTCTCTTCCTGCCTCTGAAGCCCACCGGACGGTCCTTAACAACAGCAGGAGCTTGGAAGAGGCCTCTTTTCGACAAGAGATTTACCCCAGAGGTGCCTTTGTCAGGGAAATTGCTTTTGAGGGCAGGAACTGAGGATTAGCTGTGGGTGTTACTCTTGTTTGCTGGGGGGGGTGTGACTCTGACCCCAAGGGCCACATGTGCGGAGCCCAACTGTCCCTAAGGGTTCTCTCCTAGCAGATCACCGGCCTGTCTGTGAGGAGCCTGTGGATGGCTTTGAACCAGCAACTCCTTTGCTTCTCAGTCAGGCCTTTGACAGTCGTGCCCCGCGTGGCCTCGGAGCGGCTGTGTTTGGGTGAGCGTTTTCCTCTGAGGATCTCTGATTTTTCTCTGAGTTTTCTTGTTTGGAGCCCTGCTGGCGGACGCTAAGTATCCCCCAGAATACAGGCATATGGTGATCTAATGTTGCTCTAAACTACCTAATGATCCCCGTGACCCCTTAAATTGAACCGGAATAGGAGGATTAGGGTGAGACATGACTCTCCCCACCCCTAATCCCAGCACCACCCTGATCCCATGTAAGAGGGGCTGCCACGGGGTGTGGCCTGTAGTCACTGGACTCTTACTAGAGAGAAAAGGAAAGACAGTGAGCAGAGAGGGGTTTGGCATGGGCTCCACCGAGAAATCATTGTCAGGAGTGGACCGCGCCCTGTGTGACCTCAGCGAAGGCCAGAGCCCAGGCAGGGGTCCAGGAAATGCTGGAGAAAATCAGGACGTGTCGCCACGATGGCCAGAGAGGACCGTCCCTGAGAGCTGGAGTCCGAGTGTGGGCTTTCAGGTTCTGGTGGCTTAGTGGTAAAGAGCTGCACTGCTAGTCCTTAGGCAAGAGGTTCAAATCCACTGGTTGGATTCTCTGAAAACCCACCTGGAGGGTTAGCTAGGAGTCAATTCTGACTTGACAGCAGCGGACAACAGCCACAGCGTCCACTCACGGTATTGTTGGAGCAGCGTTAGAGGTTGGAGGCCAGCATCACGGCCACAGCCACCACGGCTGCTGCCTTCACCCTGACTCACAGCGACCATGGAGAAGCAGAGTTCTTCTAGGCCTTGAATCACCATGGAAACAGATGATCGTTCTCCCTCATAGCCTCTGGGGGAGTTCAGGCTTTGACCTCAGGGCTCCAAGATGCTGCTAACAGACACCCCCACTCCTGCTCCTCATTTAGTGAAGGGTCTGCACAGGGGTCCTCTCCCGCTCCTGGTGATGGAGCCCCTGGAGACAGGAAGGGACGTGGGGTCTCCAGTGGGCGATAAACCCTGGCTCAGGTCTTCCTTAGCACCTGCACGGGATGGGATAGATTGTGCCATTTCGTGGATGGTGCCTGGCCTGGACGCCTGCTGGATTTCATGGTCTGTTTGGGGACCTGGGTAGCTGTGGCCAGACTCTGTCATCCTTGGAAAGCATCCTTGGGGGCTGGCCTGGTCACTCCAGGGCTCTTGTCTCACTCCTCTTGCTATTAATGAACCAAGGTCAGCTCACCTGTAGAGAGAGCTCACCTATGGGCGGGGCTCATGTGTGGACAGAGCTCACCTATGGACAGGGCTCACCTGTGCATGGAGCGCACCTGGGGACAGGGCTCACCTG